GAACAACAACCTATAAGAATGGGAGAAAGTTTCAGCAGTCCTTGAGCATCTGATAAGGGACTGAAAACTAGAATCTGCATAGAACAAAATCAAAGCAGTACTCCATCAGAGGTGGCAAAAGGCAGACAGAAACTTACAAGCATAAGCCGTTTGATCGAGAACATGTTGTGGAAAAAGTGTGCAGCCATCTGCGTAAAATCGAGAAGAGGTTGCACAGATCCGCACAGACACATGATGTGCACTTATTTCCTGTATATAATGTCCTTTATCAAAAGTCCCAAAACCATGGATGTTGGCGTTGATGCAGAGAGATAGGAATACTCCTACACTGCAGTTAATACATAGTTAATACATAGTTAACTAGTTAATACATAGTATCTAGTTAATACATCGTTAACTATGGTAATTGCAGCACCTAAGTGGACACATAGGAACTACATTAATTGGACATTGGTCGGGTGGGAGGGGGGAGGAGGGGGCAGGTATATACATACATAATGAGTGAGATGTGCACTGTCTGGGGGATGGTCACGCTTGAAGCTCAGACTTGTGAGGGGAAGCGGGGCAAGGGCATTATTTGAAACCTCAAAATTTGTACCCCCATAATATGCTGAAATAAAAAAAGAAAAAGAAAAAAGAAAAACAACAATAGAACCTAAAAATGAGTCACTATTCATAATCTCTAATTGCTCATAGTACAATGATGATACTCCTGTAGATAAACCATTACTAAGTCCTAATCAATATAAAATCTTTTGGGGAAGGGAATTTAAGTTTTCAATGTTCTAGTAATATAGTTCTTTATGTATCATTGGCAATTTCCAGTTCACATACATTATTACATTTAAGCTTACGATAATCAATCTAAATCTAATATCATCCATCACTGACTATACAAATACTATGCAAATTGTAGAAAGGATAAAAGAAATGCAAATATCCATTTGTCACCTGTTAATTCATTTTGATACACGCGCTAAAATACTCTGATAGAATTGTGATTGTGGGCCGAAAAGAAAATCACATTTTTTTCTCTGGGTCATTAGAATTAAAGAATATGTAAGTCTAAATATGTTGGTAGAATGAACAAATTCTGGACATGTCTTCTGTTCTTTTTTTCATGATTTGCATAAAGTAGCGTAACTGTTTATGACCATTTTGGTGTGCTTAGAAACATCGTAATATTCATGGAGACCTACATGGCAGATTACAAACTCCAGTAGGCACTTTAAAAAAAAAACCTTTTTATTTGCAACAGTTTTAGATTTACAGAATTATTGTGAAGATAGCACAGAGTTCCTCTATTCCCTGCATTCCGTTTCCCCTATCTTACACTAGCATAGCATATTAGTTACAACTAAGAAACTTATATTGATACTGATTGATATTGATACTTATATTGATATTGATTATTTTTCACTAAAGTCCATACTTTATTCAGATTTCTTTAGTTTTTACCTATTTCCCTTTTTCTGTCCTGGGATCCCATCCAAGATACTTCATTACATTTAGTCTTCATATCTCCTTACTCTCCTGTGGGCTGTAACCATTTCTCAGACTTTCATTTTTTTCTAATGAATTTAACAATTTGGAGGAGTATTTTGTGGTATTTTGTAGTATATTTTGTAGTATTTTGTAGTATATTCCTCAATTGGAATTCATCTAATGTTTTTCTCATTACAGTTTCCAAATGTTCGAATGGTTCACTTGTCCAGAGGAACTGGGTGGGCAAGAGTCAAATGGACTTTGTGGTCATGAGTCGTCACCCTTGTTGAGGAGTGTGACCCTACCTCTTATTTTGGCTGCAATTATTACCTTGGTTTCCTTAGTTCTTGGCTTCCTCATATGAATTTCCTCATCATTTTCCTCTTTCCTATTTACAACACTCTTTGACTTGTGGAATCCTAGATTTTTAAAGTTGAAAATTGCTATTAGACCAAATAATTTATGTATTTACATAAAGTAAGGAGTAGCATAACTCCCTACTTCTTAAATGTGGGCTGAGCATACTGACTTCCTTCCAAAGACTACATAAAGCATGGAAAGGGGAGGAAAGAGTAACTGTACAGTGGAGATGTCTGGCAATCACTACCTGAGCTAGGCGATCAAGGTCAATGTCACCAGTGATAAATCATGTTGATAGTATTCACCCTTGCTGTGGGGATGAAAATGGAACTACACCTCTGTGATCTTCCTCCCAAAAAACCATTACCTCTGTTGCATTTGTCTTTGTTAACTACCCTTTAGTATTGGATGGCTATTCCTGTGTAACGAACCACCTCAAAACTCAATGGCTTAACAAAGCAATTGTTTATTACTGCTCATGATCTGCGTAGTAGCTGCAGTTTTTCTAGGCTGGGTTCGGTCCAGTGGCTCTGAATCTAAGGAAGACCTGCCAGCTAGCTGGGGGGTCACTGGTCCGTGTCTCTCACCCTCCCCCAGCATGCTGGCTGGGGCAAGTTTTACCATGGCAATGGCAGAAGTTCAGGAGAACAAGTGGTAACATGTCCCCTCTCATAAGAGCTAGGCTTGGAATTGGCACCCTGTCATGTCTGTCCACATGCCATTAGTCAAAGCAAGTCACATGGGCAAGGGACAGAAAATACATTGCATCCTCAGTGAGGCCATAGCTAGTGTGTGAACGAAGAATAAGGAAGAATTGGGGCCAGTAATGCAATCTTTTATGTCCTTGCTGCTTTAAACATTCTCCTTTTTTTTTTTTTTAACACAACACTCTCTTGATCTTCTCCCCTTTTATTATTTCTTTAATTCTTCTTTCTTTGACCTCAGTGCTACTGTGTTTCCCTGAAAACAAGACAGGGTCTTATATTTATTTTTCCTCAAGAAGACACCCTAGGGCTTATTTTCAGGGGATGTGTTATTTTCCCCTCAAAGCCTCAGCTTGCAGCATGCGCAGGATGGCTGGGACCTGACAGGGGGAGCTGACCTTGTTGGTGGGGCTGCCCTCACCTTTCAGGTCACCTCTGGGATAGTAGCTGTCAGGATGGGGCAGATGAGAAGGGCTGCTCGTCTTCTTTACTGCTCTGAGACCAAATGCATGGGTTATGCAGATGCGCTGTGTAGCCACGCCCATCACTAGGTCTTATTTTTGGGGTAGGGCTTATATTGCGCAAATGCTTAGAAATCCTGCTAGGGCTTATTTTATGGGTAGGTCTTATTTTTGGGGAAACACAGTATGTGTAGACTTTACCTAAGGCTCAGCCTTTCCGTCCTGCTTTTCACCGTGTATGTGCTCTTCCTAATGATGTGTGTCCAGCTCTGACTCGCTGACGCCCTAACCATCTTGTCCAGTTTACCATTAGGCATCTCCATATTTCCACCTGGAATTGTCTAAACTCATGATCGCTGGTCCCATGCTCCACTTAAATCAATGTTTCTTTCCAGTACAAAGCTGGATGTCCGGAAAAGACTTGAGTCTTGGGATCATTGTTTTGATGTGAATGCCAAAAAAAAAGCAAAAACAGCGCCTCAACGGAAACGTACCTGTACTAATAGGAAATAGGACATTTCCAAAAATAAAAAGGGAATATATCTGAAAGAAACTAGCAATGATAAGAAGAGTATTAAGAACCATTTCCTGTGAGAAATGGTTAAAGTCGCTAATATTTTTTTTAATCTAGAAGTTATACAGGGTGTCATGACCACCACTGTGTTTAGTTGAAAGTGGGTGGTGTAGGAAAACATGAAGATTTTTTTCTATACAGCTGAACTATTACCACTGGGTGGATTTGGGGTAGGAAAACTTTATTTATTAATTTATTTATAATTTTTAAAATTTTTAATTATTATGGGTACATAATATTTGTATGTCTTTATAGGTACATGTGATATTTGGGTACAGGCATGCAATATGTATTAATCAAATCAGGGTAATTGGGGTATTCATCACCTCAGGCATTTATCATTTCTTTGTGTTAGGAACATTCCAATTCTACTCTTTCAGTATTTTTGAAGTATACCCTAACTTATTGAGTATAGCCACTTTGTTGTGCTATCAAATATTGTTCATTCTATCTAACTATCTAACTATATTTTTGCAGCCATTAGCCATCCAGAATACCACTTTATCTCCTTCTCCTTGCTACCCTTCCCAGCCTATGGTAACCATCATTCTACTCTCTCTGTCTGGATGAGATCAATTGTTTTTTTAATACAGTTCCCACATAAGTGAGAACATGCAATATTTGTCTTTCTGTTCCTGGCTTATTTCACTTAACATAATGTTCTACAGTTCCATCCTTGTTGCAAATGGCAGAATTTTATTCTTTTTATGGCTACATAATATTCCATTGTGTATATGTACCACAGTTTATTTATCCATTCATCAACTGAGGGACACTTAGGTTGATTCCAAATCTTGGCTATTGTAAATAGTGCTGCAATAAATGTGGGAATGCAGATATCTTTTTGATATGCTAAATTCCTCTTTTTTGGATATATACCCAGCAGTGGGATTGCTGGGTCATATTTATGGTAGTTTTATATTTAGTGTTTTGAGGAACCTACATACTGTTCTCCATAGAAGTTGCACTAATTTACATTCTCATGGGGTAGGAAAAGTTTAGCTTGATATTAGGAAATAACTTATACTAAGAAGAACTACACAGAAAGAGAATGGGCTGTATGTCTTTATTTTTCATTTGTGTCACTCCTTTCTCCTCAAAAGTCTTTCTCCCACTTCTCCCAATCATCTGTCAAGTCCTGTCCATTCCCCAGACTTATCCCAAATCTTCATCCCTCCATCAACTTTTCCATGACTACTCAAATGTTATTGATCCCTCTCAACTCATGTTGCTAATCTCCCATCCCTACTAAATTAAAGCCTCTTTCGAAGTAGGAATAAGACATTCTAATTTATAACTTCAAGCATGAAGCACAACACTGAGCTTATCATAGGCATTCAATAAATTATTACTAGTTTGCTGTTCGATCACAGATTTTCTGATTTCTAATCTGCAGTCCTTAGGCTTGGTTAGAATTTGAACCAGATTGGAATGCTCAAGAATCTGATCATGTCACACTGATTTAGCTTCTCTTTTTATTAAAATCCTGAAGGGAGAAATAGATCTTCCATTACTTGCCATCCAAGCTTGTGTTTTCCTACTCAGCAAAGAAAAACACTGAATTTAGAAACCTTCTAAGATCTTAGATTTATAGATCAGATAATTTGCTCAGTGAAATAGAGGAGTGAATATTCCATCATTTCTTCATGTCTGAAAATTGTTTAAAACCACAATCAAGTGGTGAATGGGAATATAGGACGTGGAGGAATACACACAACACCAGAGGGCTGTCACTCTAGTTTGTATTCAGGTCTGCCTGTTGTCATAGTTACTGATGTACTCAAAGTGATTTCCCTCCCAAATCACACTCTGTAGACGTTCGATGAAAATAAGCCATTCTTGCTGCTTTATTATTCTCTATTCATGAATTGAAGCTAAAAAATAACATTAATTGCATGAATGTTTTTACACTTTTAGCAAGATTTTAAACACACAAAACAAATAAAAGAGGTTTAATCAAAATAAATACCTTTGATTGAGGTCTCACCTCGTTTGTTCAGCAATGATTCGTTGAACACCTTGGTACTGGGGCCATAACTATGATTATGGCCCAGTCCCCACCCTCAAGGCCATCAGAGCTCTGCAAGGGAGAGAAATGAGTGAGGGGTGGGTTTCCACAAAATGCAATCAGTGCTGTGGTGGAAGCCATGGGAAAACAGAAGAGGAGCACCTCATTAAGTTTGGGGTGTTAGTGGGGTCAGATCAAGGGGTGCAGGCCATCCTGCAAGTCTTGAAGCATTGCTCCTGTGTTTAGGAAACGTATTTTTAGTTCTCCTGGGTACAGATCGCCAGTGTCCCCCCGCAGGCTGGAGGCCAGCGCGGTGGCACACAATGCTCCGTCACCTGCTGATATTCACACACAGCTCTCCTCTCTGCCCTGGCCACAGGAACTCCTTCACAGATATCCTCCGCGCCATACTGCTGTCATTGGAAGTCCTTATTGAAGATCCGGAGCTTCAGATAAATGGCTTCATTTTAATTATAGACTGGAGTAATTTTTCCTTCAAACAAGCCTCCAAACTGACACCTTCAATACTTAAACTGGCCATCGAAGGGCTGCAGGTATGTCCAGTGATTGTTTAATACAAGACTGTGTGCAACAATGCACTTTCTTCTTATTATTGCAATCAAAGTAATATTTGTCTTTTAGAATGGGTAAAAGGAAACTTGGATAAAATTCATCTGTGAACACTCTGCCTTTTTACCTCTGCCTGAGTTTGGATGTTTGTCTTTTTTTTTAATTAGCTTTCATTTTCATTAATAACTCCAAATTACTGTTACCATAGGCACAAATTACCCACTGTGGATATAATGAATAAAGCTCAGAGATATTTGGCTTAATCCATCTGAGAGCTCACAAAAATTAAAACTAAGAAACATCTGCTTTACGAGCATGTCCTATGTAGAGGTGGCATGGGGCTTCCCAGGGTTTCCAGAAGCATTTCTGGCCCAGAAATGCACCCTGTGGATCACAGCTTTCCAGAATGTAATGTGCTCAAGAGGATCATTTTGGTGCAAACAAAGGAAGCAGATGAAACTACCTCCTCTTTGTGTGACCAGTTGTCAGAAATTTGGAGAAGAGGCTTTTGTGCTGCATGACGGTTAGGGTAGTCAATCTCTAGGGTTCCTTCTGCTTTGTAAGGGTCAATGATTCCATAAATGTAACTAACTCAGAATGACCATGCTGCTTAGCTTCCTGGTGACACAGTGTTGCAGTATAAAATTAAGGGCATAGGTTGTCGAGATTCAGAATCAGCATAGATGAAACTCATGTCCCTTCTTGATTTCACTCAAAGATTGACTCAATAAGTGACCCTCTCTCCCAATAGATGGAAGTTGTATGCAGCTATGTACACAGCACAATATGGACAACGGTTAACTCTCAGATCAAGCAGTCATAACACGTGCTCCTCGAACCCTTTCAATCACCCATCCTACTTTAGTGTGGTCATTGGTGGGTTTGTTTCTTGAACTATGGCTTATTCATATTTGGCCCCCAACAAATAGTTAGCACCTAGTGGACCTCTGATAAACATGTGTCTATTGAATGCATCTTATTTTATTAAATGATCTCCCATTTTTCAGAGGAGGGGAAGTAGAGCAGGCATTTCAGAAGAGGAACAGCAAGTGCACGTTGTCCCAGGAAGGCCACATTGTCCTGGGTGGTTCATCGTGCAGTGTATCTGGGGTACATCTGTAAAGTTGGGTTTGCATGAACAGACCACACGGAGCGTCCTCCCTTGCCTGAACATCCCAATCAGAGACTTCTACGTACTTTTCCGTCAGCCACTTCCTTTCAGCTCTAACTCCTTTTCTCCAACCTCCCCTCATCTAAGCCTCTGAACATCTCTCTCTCTCCTTAAAGCTTTTATCAAACAGAGTTGTAAAGTAAGCTTCAAGATTTATTTCATGACCTATAATTATGCTGACTATATTTCTAGGAATTTCTGCACAAGCTTCATGTAATCTTATCTTTTTTAAAAAAAAAAAAAGACAATTCGTTACATGTGTAAGTAGTTGTGATTTAAGTTCTAGGCCTTTGTAAGATTTTTTCATAAATCAGGAAGGAAAATGTCCTTTGTCCAACCCTGTGTCCCAATTTTTCTTCCTGATAATGTGTGGATTACGTAATGTGTCCCTTGTCAACCTCACTAGGCTGATGTGGGTCTTATGGAGGTGTGTATGGTGAGCGTGTTTTAAAAGGTAAGGCTATGCATGCATGCTATTCTTAGGAGAAATACTAGAGGACATTTTGTGGGGTAAGATGGGTCCCATCTGGGTCTTCCCTTATCATGTGCCAGGGTGCATGATGAATCCCACAGTGTCCTATAGCTCTGGTTAAGGAATAGCCATGGTCCCAGGGAAGCTGAGCTGGGGTGCAGCTCCTCCATCTAGGATACAGACACCCCCATCCCTTGCTTTTAGCTTGTCTTGTCTTGGCTGTGCTGATGAAGCTCTCGGGCTTACTGCAGACGTGCCTGCTTTCGCCTCCTAGTGGGCAGTCTGCTCTGGCCAGAGACTGGCAGCTTCTCACTCCAGGTTGTCCTCTCTCTGGCTTTGGGGACATTTAGTTTCCATAATCAACCCACCACTGGCTCTCCCGGTGACCTTTCTTCATTGCAGAGATTGTTGTCTCCATCTCCAGGTGGCCATTAAATCTTCTGACGTCTTGAAAGAGCCATAATTGCTACTAAGAAGAGGTCATCCCTTTGTGGTCACAAGTGTTGTGCAATGAGGGTCCCATACAAGTCTCCATTGTTAGCCACGAAGCTTTCAGGATAGATTCCACGACACCGTAGGCAGACATCTGTAGAGAATGGGAAAGCTACGCATGGCCAGTACCAGTGAGAGGAGAAAAGCTCCTCTTTCCCTTCCTCCCATGCACTCCGAGAGAGGCTTGAGGAGGCCACGGTGTCTGCTGGACCTGTGAGAGCCTGCAGGGAAGGGAAGTCTTATGTTGCAGCACAACCAACTTGCTCTCTCTGTTGTCCTGCCTTTTGCAGGGTAGGTGTGAGAAAGTGGCCTTGTCAGGGGGAATAATAGACCAATTTGGTGCGAGGCCACCTGGTTTGGGTTCTCAGCTATTTATAGGATTTTTCTAGGTTTACCTACTCCTAAAGTCCTGGAGAATTTGGAGCCTCAGGGTGTGAAAGCCTCCTCCCCCCAACACAGACAGGTAATACAATTCCCACTAAGAGAAGGTGGCAGGGGCCATCCCAGTTAGCTCACTGTGCAGGCAGTGAGGATTTAAGGTCAGTTTTGGTCAATCCCGCACCTTCCATCACACACTCCTGGATCTGGACCCCCGAGCTTTAGTCCTGTCTATCACCTTGGTTCTTAGTTCTATAAAGACAGTTGTTCAAGGAGACCTGGGATGGCTGACTGTTGCAGGCTGGGTTCTCTGCGGGGCAGACTCTGACACGGAGACGGCATGCAGGAGATCTAGTGGGGAGTGCCCTTCAGGCTGGCACATAGAGAAGGGAAACTGCGGAAGGAAGTGCAGCGGGATAAGTTAAGCTGGGATTCCATCGTTTCCCATGAAAATCTCAAGCCTTCCGAAGCCCGCTTATCCTTAGTGGTAATTCCCAACTGGGGTCAAAGGTCCAGGCCTTTACATTCCCACATTGTTCATCTCTGTGTGCTGGCTGCCCTGGGGAGGGGCTGTGAACTTGGACAACATTCCCTTCAGCCTGCAGCCCCCAAGGGAGCTGTTACTGAGGACTTTCTCCTGGCAGCACCTGCAGGGGCCGGGCAGCATATCAGAGCATCTGCAGTAAGCAACAGATGTTTGGAATTTCCTGAAACGTAATATCAAGAAGTTTCCCTTCCTCTGAATCAGGATAAATACCTGCTTTTTCTTGGTTACACACATTCCCAATCAACCCCAAATGGGAGATGATACCAGATAATGTATAGCTGGTGGGCACTGGTCCGGGAACATGCGATTTGGGCCTGCAAGTTATATTTTTCTGCTTTGAAAAGTAATTATACTTCCTCTGACAACAGTCATCAAAAAACTGGCACGCACGCAGAACTTTGGTTATGCGCGTCACAGGCTGAATTAATGAGTTATTATAATAATCGCTCTTAAAAGGATTGTCATATTTTTGCATCAAAAGTTATCCTGTATCAGCCAGCCATTAAATGCTAATAGTGTATGTACTATATATTCCTCCTTTGATAGCAACATTTTGAGGAAATGTCATTGTTTAGAATGTTAAGTTGTCCTTACATAAATATCCCATGAATATTATTAGTTCAGAATACTTTAGTTAAAATACTAATTTTGAGAATGCCTGAAAGTCATTTACTTTCACTGAGCCGTTTGATTTTTGAATGTGGTCAATAATGTCTAAAAGAGTCACTGTTATCTATTCATTATAATTTGTTTAAATTTTAATCAAACTTAAAGGAATATTTATGCCACCATTTTAATACAGCTCAGCATTATTTGCAGTTTCTGGCAGACTGAAGAACATGCTGAAGTCCTGCTCTTGAGCTTCGTAATGTGTCCAAAATCAATTTTTGGAATTACTTCTTGTAAATCACTGAGGCCCAACTATTACAATCAGCACACGATGTTTATCAATGTTCAGCCAACCCAGATACTTCAAGAGCTTACTGTGCTGAAGTGTTTTGCTCAGAAAAAACTACAACCTTATGTCTTGTAGACTATTTGCAAAATATTTGATTCTTTTAAGGGCCAAGATATCTGTATGGGTTTAGACAAGCCTGTTTTTCACTCATCAGAGGCGATGCAGAAAGTGATCTCTCTTTTTATCCACCCCCCATTTCCATGCTCATGACAATATTCTCCAGCTAATCTGCACACTTCATCAGTTCATTAATTCCTCATTCAAGATTTATTGCATGACCTTTTTTTCTGTTAAAGATTTTTAAAATAATATTTATATCAACTTTGATTCAAATACCCCCAACAGCTTTGAGTCACTCCAGTGGAAAAGCAGGTTCCATTGCTTTTCCAATCTTTTTTTCCCCTTCACTCTAATGATGATTTTCTAATTCTTAACCCCAGTGGGAAGAATTCTGGGAGCAATGTCAGAGGATTGGCCAACTGCAAATTGTCTATTTCCTTAGCATCTCTTTCTGTTACACCCTTTCAGACCTTGGCTCATTCTCTCTGCTTTCCTTCCCAAAGCCTACTTTTTCACCCCCTTTTCCAAAATATATGATGTATTCACTTGCTCTTGGAGAATCTGTAAATAAGTGCCATATTTACTCAAAAGATTAGCACAGTTAAGAGTCTGTCATGTCATTGGGTAAAGTTACAGTTTCCTAATGTAAATGGATGGATCATGCTGTGATTAGAAATTTGGAAAGGCAGGTTGGGCAGGTGCATTTCAAGTAAGTAGTAGGTTCACACTGTCTCCACAGTCCAAGCCTCAGACATGCAGACTACTGACTCATGATGTGTTCATCCTGCATAGAATATGGGTCAGGTGCTCTTCTAAATAGGGGTACAGCAGAGAACAAACATTCTAGGGCTGTCCTTCTTAAAATGTATTCCACAAACCAGCAATATCAGCACCACCAGGAGCTGG